GCTCGGGGGCTGGTGTTCTTTCCCACACACAACATGGTAAAAGCCTCCTCCTTCGTCGCCTGAAAGATCAAATGAGGAGGGCTGGTTTCACAGTCAAGCTAAAGCTGTGCAAATCCAAGCCCTAGCTCAATTCAGAGACAGAAGGCACAGGTTTTAGGCACGTACTATACAAACAACTGAAAGATGACTGAGGGAACAAGGGGGGAGGGGCACGGACACGACGGACACACGGTGTCTTGAACCCTGTGCACTCAGTTCTCCCACTGGGGCCAAATGGCTGAAGAGGGGCCCAGGATCTGAACTTGCCCAGTCACAGCAGGGTTCTCCGGTGCTCACTTTCGCGGCAATGCCTTGGAAGATTGTCTTGATGTGCGGCCTGTGGAGGGAAAGGTGGGATTCAGTGGCTGAGAAGAGTGGGGCAGATGCTGCATATATACTCAAGGACCCTAAAGCAAGGCGGAGGTACCCGCCAAAAAGTAATACAGCAGGCTGGATCTCCAGGTACACCCCAGTTCTATGCTAGCTGACCCGCCTGCTTCCCCAGACTCTGTGGGCCCCCAAAGCAGAAGCTGTAGACCATGTATCTGAGACCCATAAACTAAAAGGGCTGGGCATAAGCACCTTCATACCACAGGCACTTCAGTGGCAGGAGTAAGGCAGCAGCGGGGACTTCAAACAACAAGTCACCCAGCAGGAGGGCCGCTCCTGCCCAGCTGCGTGTGCTGCATGTGCTCCGCATGGCTGGGACAGGCAGAACTAACAGTGCTTCCAAGAGACAAGACCATTGTCTGTCCCTCTTCCTCATTCCTGCCACACCCTACTGGGAAGTCCTAACAATTCCAGAGGCTTTCCCTCGTCTGGTACAATCCCATCTTCACGTGGGGGCTTACCCAGCAAACACGCGCCCGTCTGACAACCCCTACGGCAGCGGTCCAGCAGTGGACACTCGGGTTCCAGCACACGCTCTACTTTCCTTCTTCTCTCCTGTGCAGCAGCGTGGCCGCTGCCCTTGTAGGTCTGCTCCCTACTGACGTTCCAGGCTTCAACGCAAAAAGCTTGAGACTCTTACTAATAAGAACTTAGGAGCCACACTTCCTTGGGGGTTAAGATCTACAATCTTAAGTCC